GATACACTCGATAAGATATCTGGACCCCGAATCTTTAGGCATATCAATTTATATATATTTGTTCAATGACTCAATTCGCGGTACGGAAAAATACTGTGAAATAGTTAATAACTGCGTTTTGCGGCAATCATCCTCTGTTACGTGTGAAAAGTAACCGTTAAGGCTGCATTCTTTCCTTGTTTCCCGAAAACAGTACGATTTCTTAGACTTACCCTGAACTGATTTTCATGGATTTAAGAGCAGACTTTCCTGTTCCAGAAGAAATGTATTTAAGCCCTGTCTTGCCCAAATTAATGCCCCTTTATAGCACAATGCACAAGAGCAATAGGTATTGTTTAACAATAGTAAAAAGGAAAATATCTAGGATATTTGGAAAGGTCCGAGTTCGTACAAGACCAAAAATTCAGTTTTCTATTTTGAAAGACATTCATGGCCTCAAATCCACTCAACAAATCAAAATAACAAGACCCAAATGTAAACGGAAATAGTTACTCATATTTCGATCCGATGTTGCATGAGGTGGATCATCTCCTGGCTGTGTGATTTCGCGGGATCTGTCGATTGCTGCCGCTAACAGTAGGAGGTACCTTAACTCTGGTTTGCTTTTCCCCTCTCTGTCACAGATATCCCACCGGAATCTACCTATGATCTGAACCCTGAGGCCGCTTATTTCTACTACTGCGACAATGAGACCATTTCCGGCGTGGAGTTCTCGCACCCACCGACACCTCCAGAGGGCGTACCGTTGGTCTGCGATATGTCCAGCAACATTCTCAGCAAACCTGTGGATATTTCAAAGTAATTAAATCCCCCCCGGGCCAAAGACTTTTATTTAAATTAGTGCCTAGACGCCGCTCACCGATTCAGACGCACTCCTTTCTTTCTGCCCTCTTGAGCCATAATAGCAGACGCACAGGGGCCAATGATATAGGCAGGATGAAATTACTGACAAACACAAGGGAGAATGGAATCTGGCCATTTCTGGCTTATTAGTCATCATCAGTCAGCTATACCCAAGTTCAGTTGGTGCTCTAACCCGCGACCTGCTGATCAGACGTCCAACGGTCTAACCGATGAGCCAAGAGCTTGTTGCTGTGTCGACTCAGATCGGGAAATATTCTCGTCAATATTTAGGCACTCACTGATTGGTTACGGGATTTACTTATCCCGTTCTGCCTTGGAGACGGGTAGCTGGTTCAAGCCTCGGGTGGCGCAACACCCGGAGTTGGGTATGGCTGGCTGATGACGGACAGTAAAATGGTTTGGTTCCCCTGAAGGCTTTTTCATCGACCATAAGGCTGTTGGACATTCTCATTCCCCCCCACACAAGCAAGTCATTCTCACAGAAAGGCCGCTTATATTTATTCATTCGCTTGAGGACAAAGTCTCAGCGACATGCGCCAATCAGAACTGACGCAATATTGGTAGCCACGGTCCAGGCGCACCCTCTCAAGGTAGTGTGGCAGCTTACACAGCGCCTTTGTGTGCGATCATCGTGGAAATTAAAGTATTCCCAACAGTAATATAGGCAAGAGGTAAATACCGAGGAAGAACAGGGAAAGACCATGGAAATGGTAATTGCCGTCTCATTAGCTGTAATCAATCACTCATACCCAAGCCCAAGTGGTGCGCCACTTAAGACTCGAGTTCGCGACCTGTTGATCCGAATTCAAACATTCTAACCATTAAGCCAAGAGCTTGTTGTTCAGCTCGCTGGTACTTAGGCCCTCACCGATCGGTTACGGCGTTAACCGTCCCCCTTCTACCCTAGGGACGGGTCGCTGGTTCAACACCTGGGGTTGGGCTGATGGCTGACTGATGATGGACAATAAGCCAGAAATGGCAATTCCATTCGCCCTGGTATTTGTCCGTAAGATTGCCCTGAAAACCTTTTTCTCCACCATGACGCTGTTTGACTCTCTTCCTCTGCCCTCCCCCCGCATGCAGGTACGGTGTCATATTCGCAGGGACGCAAAAGAATTTTGGCTGTGCCGGCTGTACCCTGGTGATTGTGCGTGCGGACCTTTTGGACAGGGCCCTACCCTTCACACCGGGTTTCCTCAGCTACGCTCAACAGGTCAAGGCAGGCTCGATGTACAACACACCGCCCACGTTCTCGTAAGTCCCACAAAGTCCGAAACCCTTGCAATGAATCGCAATAATCTGTTTGCAGTAGGCGGCATTTAATTCGTTTTTTATGAGCAAATGCAATGTGCAGAAAGACCCACTGCATAAGTGTTAGCAGGACACAGTCTGACAAAATCCAACTGGTGAGCGTTGAACGGAGAAAGTGAATCTATGACATATATATATGGGTTGATATAACTCTGAGATACACGACAACAGCTCGACCGTCCAGTTGGAGTATATCCACCGTGTGACCCTCGGCAGGTTTGTGCAGGAACGGCGACTGACACTCCTTCACATCCACCCACTCGCGTGCGGTCGCAGATGGCTCGGGTCCCAGCTGAGTGGGAGTGCCATAAAGACTCCATTAAGAGGGAGACATCTCCACCTGACCTTCAGTCTTCCAGTCGAACACTTCATACAAACACACACTAGAGCAAATGTTGTTTGGTGACCTTTCAAACCACAGCGTTGAGCGCACAATGGGAGCTTCAGGTGCGTCAGATTGTTTATAGGTAATCCTATTTCGTTTCTTCTTTACCTTATTCTTGCAAATTCCACCAAGAAAACGGACTGGTTCTTCGCTCAAATTTTGAGACCAAGTCATTTTTGGTGCTAATTGGGCTTCTGGAACATCTAAATTTGGTA